GATTGTCTGTACCTCACCTTGATGTTGGGTTTCCAGACCCTGCCAGTGTCCCTCAGTGTATGCTACTGCATCTAAGTTTCATGGTGGCAATAGCAGAGGGAACTCAAGCGGTAGACCAGGGCCTACTGTGAGCCTGGGTCCCACACAGGCTGGTGTGGGTGGTTGGGTCTCAGTTCCCACGGTAGTCATAAAGTATTTTATGTATATTTTTACTCAATAAGTTCTTTCTATTTTATATGTATATAATTTTTAAATTGTTTTGTTAAAAACTAAGAAATAAACACACACATTAATTAGCCCTACACAAAGTCAGGTTGATCAATAACATCAATGTCCCTCTGGAAGGTCTTCGGGGCAGTAACTTTCATGGAGTTGTCATTTCTCTGGAATCCCTCCTGAGGGTCCTGCCTGAAGATGTTTTATAATTAAATGATTTTTTATAGAAATAAAAGGACTGTACTCTAAAATCATGATAAGCCTAGTATAAAAAAAAATAAACCAGTAACATAATTGTTCATAATCATATCAAGTATTATGTATTGTACATAGTTGTGTCATACTTTTATGAAACTGTCAGTATAGTGGATTTGTTTGCACCAGCAGCACCTCAGACACATGAGCCCTGACACTATCATAGCTCTGACAATAGATTTCTTCCTCACATTATAATCTTTTGGGACAATAGTTGCATATGTCATCCATAATTGACAGAAACATCATTATGTGCTGCATGACAGTATTAGTGCTGCAAGTGTGTGTGTGTGTGTGTGTGTCTGTCTGTCTGTCTTTTGTCAATTTGAACTTGGTATTACACTATTGTTGGGATGTGTGTGTCTGTGTGTTTTGATGTATTCTTCAGCCAGTGTTAGGAGAGTGGTTTATTTATATGGTCATATTTATTTGACTTAGTCATTCACTTATTCTTTCAGTTTGCCTATTCTACTAATGATACCACTTTGTTTTTCACAGCTACAGATTATTGTATTTGTAAACTAGCGCTCTCACAATTTCTAGAGATTTTTGTGGGAATGAATGTGCAGATACACATAGCTAGTCTTGCAATTTGATCTGTTCCTTTTCTATAATGTAATAATAATCAATTTATTCCAATATGCAAGAATTGTATTTATTAAGCCTCTATAATGCAAAAGGATTTGGGGGAAGGGGTCTGGCTTCTGGGAAATAGAAAATATACAAATAGCTCAGAGTTCAGGGAGATGAACAAATGTGTAATCAGAAAATTATAATGCAAAGTGGCATGTATGAAAATAATAGAAATATGTACTAAGTATACTGGGGCCAACAGAATGCCAAGGGGATTGGTGGCGATAGTTCTGCCTCAAGGAGTGTCTTATTACTGATACTGTCCAATGGTGATAATTAAAACATACCAAGATATATGTTGTTGTTTTTCAATTTTCTCAAAATAATAACAAGAATCCTTCTTGCCTGCACATGTGGCAGAGCATTCTCATTGTTCCCCCTTGTTATGGCACTTGTGGGGGCTCAAAAAGGAAGGAGAGACACTCTTAAGGTCCTCATCACTTTACAGATGAAAAGTCATTACAACCTGGCATGTTAGAAAAGGCAGGGATGGAGAGGAGGTGACAGACATAAGACTTGCAAGAAGCTGGAGATGAGAGCACTTTCTTGTGAGTTGAGTGTGGAAGATGGGGGAGTGGGTGGAGTCTAAGATGGTTCTTGAACTTTGATTGGCAAAACAAGCAAAAGAGAAAATGCAGCTTTGGTGGAATGGAGCGGGAATGAATACCAGACTTCTGCAGAACATTCTTTTATTCTCAATAAACAAATTTTGAATTTCAAGAAGGAGATCTAGGTCAGAATATAATTTTTGGTTTTTTTAGCATGTATGGACCAGTGATTCTCACATGTTTTAATGTGAGAAGAATAACCTAAACTGTTTGTTTCAAATGTAAATTCTAAGGCCATCCCCATGTGGCAATGGCTGTAATCAGACCCAGATGGGACACAGGAATATGCAATTTAAAAAGGGGTATACAATTCTGCTGAACACAGTTTGGAAAATGCTGCTATAAATACACCAGATTAATAGTATCACTTAAAAGGATTCTTTCCTACATGACATCAGCAGTGCAATGAAGTTTGGAACACCATGAATACTTATCAATTTAATTCTGTCAAACCTTCAGTCCATTAAGTGTCCCCCCATGCTCCTGTTTTACACCAGTATTTACAGTTTTTTATCCTGTTTTAGAAAAAAGCAACAGCAAATCGGCATATCAAATGGTACCTTTTCAACAGAATAGAATCAGCACATAAGTATTTATACTACTGATATCATTCACAAACTAAATATGTGCATGTTCTTTGATCTCATTTAAGATGATCAAATGAGATCAAAGTGCAAGATAATCAAAGTTTAGGAGATTAGTATGGTTAGTTCTTTTTCATGTATGGGGGCAGGGTGCTGGGATTGAACCCAGGGATGCTCTACCACTGAGAAGCACCCCCACCCCTTTTTATTATTTTTATTTTGGCATAAGATCTTGCTAAATTGCCAAGGCTGGCCTCAGACTTGCAATCTTCTTGCCTCAATCTCCTGAAGTGCTGTGCTTACAGGTATGTGCCACCATGTCTGGCCCACTTACTTTATTTTCATGCAGACAGAAAAGAGCTCAAATTTGAAGAAAATACATTTGAAGGAATGAAGAAAGTATTCATTGGCGAGTTTAGTGGGAAAAAACAAGGAGTTTAGGGAAAGTGGCAAAAAAAAATATGCAGGACTGGAAGTGAGAATTACATTATTTTAGCTTTTTTATGTGATGCTATAAATTCTTTGCAGGATGAATTTGCATTGTCTATAAACAAAATAACTTACATCCTCTCATTTTGCCCTGCAAATATCTAAACTAGTTCCATAATGAGGGATCTCAAAGAGTTGCTGCTGCACAGAAAGAAAGAGCTGAATATTGCCACTGACAGGAATTTGATATATTATTTGTATTTTCTTAGGCACTTATTGAAATTATCAATGGATCAATTTATTTACTGTAGATTCAAAAGAGTAATGTTAAGTCAAAAGTTTCGTAAGCTGTGGGCATCTTCTTCATTTATCATTTCTGTACTACCTGGGAAAATGTGTTCTGTTGCCACAAATCATGCAACTGGAATAAGTCTTCAAATTGAAAAGAAAACCACTCTGAGGGAGGAGTCTGAGAATGTATTTCAAAAGACTATTTGCATGTTCTCCAAAGCAATTGCCAGTGTCTGGCAAGGAAGAGGAAAAACTATTTTTATTTATAGTTGGGAGATTAATGGGCAGCCTTATATATTGTGTGACAAACTGATCTTAAATAAAATATGTAGCTTTCTTTTAAGAAGTTCAAAAGTTTTCTTTCTGGCCACAGAAATAAGAATAGAAGCTACAGAAATACAATATGCTTGTCCATTTTCTGAATAATGCTTACTTTTGTTTTTTTTTTTTGGTTTGTTTGTTTGTTTGTCTGTTTGTTTTGCTTACACAAGACTGTCTCTAGTTCTTATCTCTTCAGTTAAAATGGAATATGGACAAACCAAAGCTGTGCAGGAAAATAATATCACTGAAGTTGGTATATAATGTCCATAAGGAAAACCTAGTGGATCTGAGAACAGAAGTTTTTCTCCCACTCTCCTTTGGGAAGAAGATTGGAGATAATGCCTTAGGGATAATCTATCCTCAATTGATATTCAAGGAAATGGACCAAATAGAAATTAGAAAACAGGTTTGCATGTAGAGTGACTGGTTAAGAGAATGATCATTAAGTATTCAAATAAAGGGAAGTAATAAAAAAAAAAAATAGGGCAAACTCTGCATTACCCATTGTTGAAGCCTGATATTTCAGGGTTATTTACAGCAGTTTCTAACATTTAACTAATGCTAATGGCTTTTCCAGTGGTCTTCTCTGACATCAAACCCTATAATAGGCCACATATTCTCCCTCATCATCACCATGGTTTTTAATTCCTTTTGCTTCATTCATTATGTGTAGTTTGTAATCCAGTGCCATTGATTTCCCCTTCAGAGAATCCCTTTCCTCCTGCTCTCCTTCTCCTTAGATACATCCCAGATATCAGTATTGCTCCCCGCCCCACAGGCCACCTGCAATGAGCACTGGTATCAACATTCTTCCAATCACTTGAAAATGAAATATTGAATTAGTTTTGATGTATTCCTTCCTTTCTGCTCACTACCTTCACATGAGAGACCACATCAATTCTTCTTTCCTCATGGGCCTTGAATCTGCTATTACTTGCCTTTTGTTCTGCAAATAGGTTAAACTTCTGTTCCTCTAACATAAGATATGCTTAGAATTGCTGCATAGATAAATAAACATCACTTAAACCCATCTTATAGCCAGAATGATCTACTTACTTCATGTAAGTTTACCATGTATATGAGGGGGGAGAAATCACAGGATCTTCAAATACTTTCACAGTGGGAAAAAATAAATTCAAAGGAAGAAGTCCTAGATTCTGGTCTTGTTTCTGCTATGAAACAGCTTTGTGACCTTGAACATTTAATGAATGTTTAAGGAGTAAGTTAGTAGCTTCAAGAAGCCCTTGTCTCTTAAAGTATGGGATCCTCTGATACAGTTCTTTGAAAATAGATCTCTTAACTACTAAGATGTGCTCTTCCTGGCCCTTCCTCCTGGAGCAACCAAGTCCCATAGATTTCATTGTCTTTCAGTGAATTTTTTTTTCAGCTTCCACTATAGGGATTTTCCTGAGTTTACAATGATTTTTATTGATGTACTTTATTTCTCTTTAATTTTCTCTTCCTGGCTAATGGATACTTATAATGGGTCTCAGTTCTTATAACACTCTATACATTAATGCATTATAATAATATTGGGATGCTAGGAACACATCTTACTCAGATTCATAGCTCTAATGCCTACCCTAGGGCCTGAAACACAGACATGGCTAATTAAAATCCTGTTGAAGGGAACTAGGCCAAGAAGGTAAACAAGACTACACACCTTAGATGCTTGAGACTGTTAGGCACTGTCAGTCCATACGGATCCACGGCAATTCTACCATACCGTGACAGAAAGATGGTGATTCTTTCCCATGATCCTTCATATCTATGAAACTGTCTCTGACATTTGATTGCAGGAGATCATTCTTCTCCTCTGCAAACCAATATGATAACAAACACATGACTTGGGACGCCAAGGGGGAAAATCAAACCCTATAAACAAGAAAAACGATTACATATTCTTAAGCTTGTCACTTACTCCTATTTTTCTGAATGTCTCATATAAGCAAACCTTCTAAATCTTGAGATTTTTGGTTGGCATGGTTGATAGAAAGTTTTCATATTTTTGGCTGGTTATATTTCATTACAAGAACAAATTTAAGGTAATTGTGAAAGTTTAGTCTGTTTTCTTCTGAGCTATTATTTTCATAATTTTGATATAGAGTCATAGACTGTTAGAGTTTGGAAAAAACCTTAGTAATTTTGTAGCATGACATTACCTAAGTTTGGTTACTGCAGAATACTTGATTTACAAGATATGATAGTTATTCTGAGGAACTTTTTAAAATACTTGAGAACAAAAGAAAAAAATAAAATGTTTGTGATCCAAAATATTTCAGAAGCACTCAGGTTTCTTTTTTTTAAAATCAGTTTTGTAATGATTTTATAATGCTTCTTATAATGCTTCTCAGATCTTTAATATGATACTATTCCTAGCCAATTTTTGAGACTACACCAGGGATATTATACAGTATTTCCATGATTTTGGTTATGAAAACTTCTTTTAATGTAATACATATTAATGTCTTCCATAAGTTTTCTGAAAAACAAGTTGGGAAATTCTGAAACTCAAAAGATTTTAGTTTATCTACAAGCAGAATAGACAGCATAGGGATAGGATAAGAACTCAGGACACATAGATCCCCTGTGGTATTCTCTTTGCAAAATGCCATAGATTATAATAACAATATGCACCATTCTCTAGTAATTTATTCTACTTTAGAGGAAAGGGCAACGCCTAAGAACAAAATATGTTTTATAACAGCCTTCATTTCTAGAGAGTATTTTAGATTGGTTTGATTCATTTCTATGGCCAGTACTTTTAGCCAAAAATTCCAAAAGAGCTATTCAATTAAAAAGTCTTGAAGGTTTCTGATAAATGACTTAAAACATTGGGGGAAAAGTCATTAAAAACAATATTTTACATGTGTACATATAAATATATATGTTGGCTGTGAAAATGCAATATTCTTATTTTTTAAATAGGTACTTTTTTATTTTTAAATAGACAAAATGTTACATAAAACTGCTCAACTATAAAAGCAAATCAAAATCTGCAGTATTTTCTAATTTTGCAAAGGTTTATTATTTTGTCATACAAGATAAACCAAAGAATTTATAGTTTTAAAAATATTATTTGAAAATACACAAGACATCAAGATAGTCAAATTCTGAGCTTAGCAATGGCATGCAGCTCAAGGCATCTTACTACTCTAAACTTAAAACTGCATCAAATTTTCCAAATGTGAATATTTACAAAAAGGAAACATGATGGCTGATTTTCAGGAATGTAAAAAACAAATCAATAGAAACTATGCTTTTTCAATGGCTAAATACTTAAACTCATTTTAATGAGTAGAGAAAACATGTTGCACAATTCAAGAGAAATGGAAAGAAACTTAGCCACAAAAATGACTTTGCTTCTCTGTGTCTCTGAAGCTGTAGAAATCTAGAGGACAAGTCAAGGCACATACCACATGGCCTCCGATTCCACCAGAATGGAAGAGTTCACATGCACCCTGTGGGTATCTCCTCCACATTTAAGGACAGAAAACAAATGTAAGGAGCAGAGACTTCTAGACTCCTAGGCCTGGAAGAAAATATAGAACAGACATCTACTGTCCTTATAATAACACTTTCCAGTAAGGTAAAAGTACCAAGATCTAGTGAAATATGTTTGGGCAAATATATGATTAAAAAATTACCCATTCCTTGCTCTGAAATCTAGCTAGACCATACTGTATGTTGGCCAAAATCCTAAGACAGACTAATCCATATAGAATAGGGTGGGGTTGGGAGTATGAGGAGAGTACTTTCTAAGAACAGCACCAACAAATGTCATACATTACTCAGGTATTCATTCATCTAAGAAATATACCTTGAGCATCTTCTAGGTGCTCATATCGAAAGCTCATATTCAACAAACACTAACTGAGAAAGCACTGTGTGCCAGACAAAGGTTAGATAGAGATCCAGTAGTGAAATATACAAACTCCCTGTTCTAAAAAAGCTAATGTCCTACCAGAAAACATATTCCATAAGCAATCTCACACTGTGGGGAGTGTTGTGAAGAGGATAGAGAAAAGAATGATACAATAGGCCGCTGGAAAGGACCATCTGAGGAGACAGCATCTGAAATAACAAGCAATTGAAGGAAGGTTGCATCCATAAAAGGGATCTCGAAGAAGAGTACTTCGGGTAAAGGGGAAGGCAGATGCAAATGATCTAAGGCAGGAACAAACTTGATGTACCTGAAGAACAGGAAGAAGGTTACAGGGTGGAAGCACAATGAATAGGCAGGAGGGAAGTGTAGGATGAGGCAGGCAAGGAAGGCAGGGCCAGATCATGCACATCTTTAAGCAATGGGGTTTCATTTCATGTGTGATGAGAAGGTGTCAAATGATTTTATGCCGAGGAGTGGCATAATCAGATTTACTTTCTAAAGGACATCATTTTGGCTCTTGAATGAGAAATTGATTGTAGACAGCAAAAGAAATAGGGAAAACAGTTCAGAATGCTAGTGACCAAATCCATTTAAAATGGTAGTTTACAGACTGAGACTAAGGTCTTAATAGTAACAATAGGGAGAAGAAGATGAATTTTAAAATATATCAGAGATGGAATTGCCTGGACATGCTAATAGAATCAATTTAGAGAAGAGTAAAAGAGAGAAACAAGAAATAGCTTCTAGATATTTGTTATGAGCTATTGAGAAGATGGGAGTGGGAAAACCTATACAAATATGGGATCAACTGAAAGAGGAAGAGGGGTGTGTGTGTGTGTGTGTGTGTGTGTGTGTGTGTGTTGGTGGGGAGGGGTTGCTTATCAAGTGACTTTTTTAATATGCTAGGTTTAAGATGCCTATCGCCATTTAAAAGAATATGTCAGCTGGCAGTTGGATCTATGAGCCTGGAATTTATGAGAGAAAGCTGGCTTGGAGATATGATTTTGGAAGTTATTAGCATATAGATAGATATTTAAAGCCATAGACCTAGAAGCATTCACCCAAGGCAAGAATGCTTACTACGAAGCTCTAGAGTACCAAAATATTAGAGCGACCAGGAAGACGAAGAAAAATCAATATAGAAAGCTGAGAAAATACAGTATTTGCACATCCATCTGTAATTATGATTGTAAAGTGTGACTGGTCAACGTAAAGTGTTTTTCTTCAGCAGTGTTCACAGTGTTGATTTTTGTCTTCTTGATGCAGTACTCTATGTCCTATCTAGAACAGAGGATCTTGAACTTGAGCTTATTACATAGGCCTGAAATACTGAGTCTGATGGGCCTAAATTCATGGACAGTTCTAGACTAGACCAAACTAACTGAGCCCATCTTCACATGTATCTGGAGAGAGACACAAAATGTGGCTAATGCCTGCAAAAGAGAGGAAGTGAGAGGGACAGAGGAAATAGAGGATGGAGTTCAAGGTCAGGGGACCTCTCTGGATAACCCTCTCTAATGGCCCTGGGCTTCTTCCCCACTGTGTCTTACTTTATGTTTTCCCATAAGCTGATTATCTCCAGACACAGAAAATTCTGGAGTGATGCTTTTGGTCACAAAGAAGGATATAATTAGTCATTTTCCTGTGATCTGTTGTTGTTGTGTTGCTTCTCCTGTTCTTGGATCAATTTTCTAATAACTAATTAGCATCCCTTTCAAAGTTCAGAAGCCTTGGGAAGAGGGTTAGTGGGGGCAGGCTATAGCAAAGTAGTTAATTTCTGTCTTTTGATTTTCAATACACACATCTGTTACTTTTCAGTCTATCAGATTTCACGCCATCCAACTAAGATGTGATTTAACTAACAAGTATTCGAGCAAGAAGGTATGGCTTATTCCTGTTCTTGGCTATGACATTTGAGGAAGATTGTACGATTAGAATCTTATGATCATACTAATGCCAGATTAATTCTCTACAACTATTTACAAGGTGAAGCTTTATAAAAATAATCCATTAGCTCTGGCTGCCTCCCTTTTCTTTAAGGTTCTTTTGAGGGATGTCATGAATATTAATGCTTGTTGTTACCACCTAATTCTATATCCATTTCTTCCTCGGCAGCATCCTTTTTGAAATTCCTAAGGCATTCCCTTCTTGCCAAATTCAACTGGAAGAACTATAATTCTCAGAGTAAGAGAGATTTTTTTCTATTCCATTGAATTTTTTTATTAACAAGGGGTTAACCAAAAATGAAACAACAAAATGGTGAAATGCCCCATGCCTACTTAAACCCTAATCTCAACCAAGAGGGCAGGGGAGAAAGTCTCACTCCCCAGATGAGCCAGCCTTAAGTGTTATAGTGGATAGGATTTATTGAACATGTATCAAAAGGCTCCACCAGAATTGTTTAAACGTGCAGGAGCTTATTGTTCTCTTCTAACAGGTCTGAAGAGGGTAGTTACTGCTGCTATTGGTTCTAGACTTTACCAGATTGCCCAGCTTCCTCTTTGCCCTCTTGGAACTTACCTGTCACGTAAAAGCCTATGGGGAAGAAGCCACATGAAACAGGGAGGAGGATGAGAAGCCACGCAGAGGGCACAGAAGAACCCCAGCCTACAGCCAGCACTACACTTGTGGGGAGGCCATCTGGATCCTCAAGCCCCGCTGAGCTGTCCTTGCATGATGTGAAGCAAAAATGAGTACTCCCGCCACAAAATTCTTTCACTGTTCCTCACTCGTAGAATCCTAATCAATAAAATGGTTGTTGTTTTAGGCTACTCGATTTGGGGGTGGTTCATTATCTAAAATATAGAAAATGGGAAACAGAGGTTTCAGTAAGTTCCTATAGTAATGTTTTCCCCCAGTAGAGCTCAGTCTTTTATAAAGTTGCCTCAGGGTCTGTCTGACTCTTTACATCAACAATGCCATGTAAATTGTGTACTTAGTGTTAGACTTTACCAGTGAGGAATCTGTGTGTGTGCATGTGTGTGCACGTGAGTGTGCACATATGTGCACACACACACAAGGGATATACCACACACAAGGCATATATATGCTTTAACTGAAGATCAAATACCTGTTGCTCTACCAGAGAATGCCAATACCAAGAAAAGAAAGAAAATTCATGTGTTTATTGCATTTTGTCCAACTTTCCGGTCTCAGAAGCAAACTATTCACTCAAGGATTTCAATCATTTTCATATCTGGAGTGATATGTGTCATGTTTCTTTAAAATTTCTCTTTCAAAGGTCTTGCTCTGCCTGAGGTAGACACTCTTTAAATAGCACTCATGTTGACAATCAACCTTTCATATTCTACTTGAATTTTTTCAACATATTTTCAAGTCATTAGCTAATGTCATTTAATTTTAACCCATCTTATCAGATACGACAGATTTTATTATCTACGTTTCGCTTATAAAGTAACTAAGATGTTGGGAATTGTAAAAAATAAAATCTAAATATAGGTAGCTACTTACCAATAAAATTTACTACAGCGAAGTCAGTCAAAACCTTAACCCAAGTCTCCCCCCTTTAAGTCTGGTGTCCTTTTCACACCATAAAGAAGGAACTTTAAGTGTGTTGATATCTCATAGCTCTGTTTGCATTCTTCAAGAATCAAATTTTTGAAAGAACTATTGGAAAGTAACATGTGATTAATGTAGCCCTTTTACCTCAACAGCAAGTACCTGTAAAGCCCTTATCTACATCTCAACATTCGGTGTCTAACATTGTTTTAGTAGCAAACAAAAATCATCTCAGCCTTACAGAAAGCTTTCCAAAACCATTAGGCCTGCCAAAACACTGACCTACCTCCAATCAGCAAACCCCAAGCTTACCTATTTATATTTATCCAGTTTTCTATTCCTTTCTTCTATCCTACCATATGTCCACAAACTGAGAGAGAAAATTCTGACCCCAAGACAAATACATCTCTGACACAGATTCCTAAAAAGGAGAGGAAAAAGCATCTCTCTCTAAATTTCCTTTTGGCTTGCTGCCTGATTCTCATTAGGCCCACCATGGTCATATGATACAGACCAAAGCATACATAAAAGTTTTCATTTTACAAGTATGGAGAAGAAACATAGCATTCCATTTTGTAACCCAGATGTAATTATGAAGATTACTGCTTAAATGCAAAACCAAAGCTTGGTTTTTCACATATTAGTCATAGGAAAAGAAAATTATTACACCTGCCTTCTATTAAGTTTGCTTTGATTTCTTTTTAGGTCTTGGGAATGTGGACTAGTGTTTGTTTTCATGGCTGCCAATGTTTAAAACTTCCAAGCAATTTTGGACTAAACGACCGAACACATTAAACAGCTAATGTATAACACACACTATGTCCTTAGTCAAAAACCCACAGAAACTCCTAAAAAATTTTAAGCCATAGCTATTGTCATGAAACTATTGTAAACCCATGTTTAAAAATCTTGTTTAAATTTTGTTTAAGTCTTTCTGTAAGAGGATGCCCTTTCAGAAAATAGTTTCTGGAAGTGTTTATATCACAGGCACTTATTAAAGCCTGAACTGTAGCCATCGCTAGGGATTTAGTAAGCTAATCGTTTTATTTCAGTTTTGGAGTCAATATTCCTGTATGTGCTGACTAGAGTGCTAAGTGGAAAATAAGTCTTCCGATTAAAGAGAACAG